CAGATAGGGCGGACGGACGAGCGTTGGAGCTGCACCCGCCACTCGTACTCTGTGGCGTTCAGGCGATGCACTGTGGAAAGATAGAAGCATTGCAGCATATGCGATACAGTGCAGTGCGATGCAAAGCAGGATTTATGGTGCGCATCATTGAAGCTGATGGGGGATGAACAGCAAATGGCCGAATCATGTTTTGTGTGTTCATCCAACCCTGAAACCCTAAAACCCTGATCTTTGCAGTGCTGGTTTGTGCTGTAGCATGTGGCATGTAATTTGAAGATATTGTTTTCTTATGGCCCCAAGATTATGGAGCGTTGCAGGGCTGACGATATCAGACTATTTTAGTCTGATTGTTTGAAATTTCAGACTATTTTCCTGACATTCCTGATTTTTCAGAGTTGGCTGGTTTTGAAAAATGAGTGCTTCAGACTAATGGTTTTTTCGATACTGAAAAATTCAGAGAACTTGCTTACCGGATAATGAGTTTTCATACTACAGAGTACGAACTCCCCTTCGCCATACCTGTTACTTCGAGGAAAACCCATCCCTCCGAACTTGTGCAAAAGGTTCGTTAGTAGGAAAACCTGCCTTAGTCTCTGATGCGCAGGACGGGCGGTGAACAGAGAACATTTTTTAGGGCAGAGAAGGCAGCATGCTCTTTCTCCCCCCACGTAAAAGCGACCCCCTTTCGCAGTAAGTCAGTCAGCGGGGCAGTCAACTGTGCCATGTCGGGGACGAACCGACGCACATAATTAACGAACCCTAAAAAACTCTGCAGCTCCGTTATGTTGGTCGGGGGACGCCACGCTTGTACCGTATCCAGCTTCTTTGGGTCGATTTCAACTCCAGCCTCCGAAATAACGTGCCCCAAAAATTCTAACCTATCCTGGAAGAACTCGCACTTGGATCCCTTGGTCAGTAGGCAATGCTCGTCTAAAACCTTAAAAACCGCTTCCAGATCCGCTAAGTGCTGCTGCTTGTCCCGACTGTAAACGAGGATGTCATCGAGGTAAACTATGACGCATTTATCTAAGAGCGGCCTAAATGCCTCGTTCATAGTCATCTGAAAAGTCGCCGGTGCGTTGGTCAGCCCGAAGGGCATCACCGTGTACTCGAACGACCCGTACCTAGTCCTAAATGCTGTCTTGGCGCAGTCCGATGGTTCGACCCGAATCTGATGGTAACCCCCCCGTAAGTCTATTTTCGAAAACACCCGTGCTGTTCGTAATTGGTCGATCAGTTCGTCGGCGCGGGGAATGGGGTATCGCGACTTGACTGTTACCCTGTTCAGTGCTCTGTAGTCGATACACATGCGAAAACCCCCGTCTTTCTTTGGCGTGAACAGTATCGGTGCGGCGAATGGTGACGAGCTTGGTCGGATGAATTTTTTCTCTAACAGGTAATCTAACTGCTTCCTTAGCTCATCCAGCTCGGGCTGTGTTAGTCTGAACTGGCGCTGTACGGTTGGCTGTGCCCCGGGTTCTAATTCGATTCGGTGGTCGTGTGCTCGTTGAGGTGGCAATCCTTCCGGTAAGTCGTCGGGGAAAATCCCGGGGTACCGTTTCAACAGTTCCTGTAATTCGGGCGGTACAGCTTCCAGCAGTTTCTTGAAATCGCTCGGCTGTTCTACTTCCTCCACTACTGCGATATCTACAGCGTACACGTCAGCCCCAGCAGCGACAGCCCGTTTCATTGTAATGGCGTTGACATGCACCGTTGATGACTCGGGCGACTGCCAGCGAGGTAGTTGGACCCAGTTACCACTACTTCGCACGGTGCAGCTACCCGTCGTCCAGTCAATTCGCGGGTTATACCGTCGCAGCCAATCGCGCCCCAGTAATATGTCGTGCCCATCCAGTGTTGTTGCGAGCATTTCCTGTGTAAACCCGAAATTCCCCCCGCAGCGGACTTTGACTCTCTCCACTTTTTCCCGTATGGCCAGCGGCGTGCCGTCGACTAAGCGTGCGTCTATTTCCGGTAAGCACCGGCTAAGTGTCAGTTGTAGTTTTCGTGCTGTTGCGGCATTAACTAAACTGTGACTTGCTCCTCCGTCAATAAAAATCTTCACTGCTGCTCCCTGTATTTTCCCGTGGATCAGTACTGGGCAATCCATCGCTGTACCCTCCTTATTCATCCGAGCCCGATCGATGGCGTGAATCGGTACTGTGACTCGGTGAGGGTCGGTGTGGTTGGGCGAGCAGGCAGTCTCGTCAGTAGTTGGCCCAACCTCTACTGACTGCTGGCGTTTCCCTGCCTCTGAGACTCCCTCCCCTGCTCTGCTCCGCGGCGCCTTAGCTCCTCTGGGTATTCGCTCTTGCGATGGCCCGGCCTGTTGCAAGCAAAGCAGCGCCCCTTAAATGGCGCAGCAGCTGCATTTGTCGCAACGGCGTTCACAGTGGCGTGCTCGATCGGTCCCCGAGGACGATGTCCGTGGTAGAACCCCGGTCTCGGTCGGCGTAGGATGTCGATTTTCTCGGCGAGCGCGAGAATCTCGTTGAAATTCGAGAGTCCGCGTAACATGATCTCGTGCGAGATGTCCGGCTTCAGCCCTCCGACGTAACGGTCCACCCGCTCCGCTTCGTGCATATAGCCGACTTGCTCGCAAAGTGAGAGAAAACCGCTCGTGTAATCTTGAACCGATCCGAGCTGCCGCCAAGTACGCAATTTCTGACGCGCCGAAATAGAAGCCGCGATCGGCTCGAAGCGCGCCCGAAGCCCTGCGCACCACGCATCCCACGTGCTGTATTGGGCGGTTTCGCAGAACGAACTCCAGGTAACAGCTGGACCCGTGGGCCCTCCCTCTTGCGATGGTGGCTCGTAAGCGCGTGGCGACGTCACGATGACTCGCCACCAGTCCATGGCGGGGCCCCTTAGCAGCGAAACGGCATACCGAATCTTCGCTGCGTCCGACTCGACGTAATTCGCATCGAAAAAAACGTTCATCGTGAAGACCCACGATTGAACCGTCGGACCTCCACGTTGGCTTGGGTCGAAACAGGGCGGGCGTTGCGGCTTGAGTGGCATTGGCGCCGTGAAGGCTTGTTCGCCACTTGTCGCTGCGAATTCCACGTGCCGACGGTCTCCGCGAGGCTCCCATGGGCTTGGCGCGCTTCTGTTTCCTCCCATGCCAGGCATTGGTTGGGCGGCGCTATCACTGGCTGCGCCTGAGCGCTGTCCCATGCTGTCGTGTGGTGTTGGTGTGCCGGACGAGATGACGATCGGCTCGTCGGATTGCGCAGGTGCATTTGTTGGTGCGTGTGGTGCTGCCGGAATGTTCACCGAGGATTGCTGACGCGCGGAGTCACGCTCCGCTGTGAGCGTCGCAATTTCGAGCGCCGAATCTTCGAGTTGGCGCACCAGACGGTCGAGCTGCTCCTGCGTCAATGTGGCGAGCGTGAATTCGGCCATGGCGGGGGTGTCGGGCGAGCTCAGCGAGAGCCTCAGTCGTGGCCGTGCGTGCTTACGAGAGAGCACTACGAGCGGCGGTGCTGTATCGCTGAGAGACGTCTACCCCCCCAAAAAATTGAGATAGTGGGGAAGCGAAGGTGTGGGTGCGGTCCGAGAAGAGATCGTAGGCTCTGAATACCAAGTGTTACGAGTGCAATTGAGTGAACGAACGAGAATTGCACTATCGAAGCAAGAGTACATCGAGCGAAGGTATGAGCGAAGAATATATAGCGAAACTACAGTGGTAACGGTAATGGACTGTGGTTGTCGCGCGATGGGCCTGGGACTGAGGTTGGGGAAAAGTGTCGAAGCGGAGGCCCGGAGCGCGGGTTACCCGCCGAGCCGTGAGGTCGGGGTGCGACGTGCGAAAGTGGCGGGCGGATTGTCGATGCGGGGATTGCGAGTGGTAACGGTGCTGACTGTGGTGCTACAGTGATGTACGCGTTGAGCAGGGATGCGAAGTAAGGAAAAAGAGATTTTCCTTACAACGGGCTATCTTAAAGGTACACTCAACAAATGATGCCCATCTATAGCAAAGATACTGAGCTGAATGCAACATTGGCTGTGGTAAAGGGGCCTGCGCTGGTACGCATTTTCATACGGTGTATGGTGGCGCAAACTATGGTTGCATTACAATGCCCCAAGGTCAATGTCTTATGGCATCGTAAACTGTGAAGGTTGGCACTACAACAGGTTACGGGATACGAATCGGGCAAAACTATGGCAGACAGTGATACAGGGGATTAGTTTTATTGCAAGAGCAAAAGACTTCACATGGACCACCAGGGTCCAGCCAGCAGCACCTTCTCTGACCATGGATGGGGACGTGGTGGTTCAGTAAGTATGTGCCGGTGATTTCCTGAAAAGTATTTACGCGAGTGCCATGCCATCAAGTGGCATAACAGTATGCCGGCTGCTGAGGCAATGGAAGAGACGATTGTACTTCCCAACCGACAAAACCGTTCTACTTCCTGCAACCTAAGAACCCATGCAGGTTCTGAAGATGTTCAATGGGAGTGCATTTCCTGCATCCGACTAAATACCCCAACTTCAGGTAGCCATGTAACTCATTGGATGCCATAAAAAAAGCCTGCAAGTGACTGCATTCGCTCACTTCAGCGCAACATTGACTGTGGCGGAGGTGGCAAGCCTCTTGCTTGAAGTATCCGCATGTTCTCTTCATAACCTGTAAGGGAGCCCAAGAGACTTTCGTGAACGCGCAGACAGGAAGAGGTACTTCTCAAAACCTTGTCAGATAACACAGGATCCAGGATACAGGAGCAAGCCCAGTAACCAGATGTGAAAAGCGTACCTCGTTTTGGGTCCCATCCTCGGTTCTTAAGCTCTCTAATTTCTTGAGCAATAGAGCAGCACAAACATGCGCAATGCATCAAGCAGTCACCGCAGGGCCGCGGTGGTAAAACGTATTTCTGTCGTAGTTTGTTCCGAACTCCTGTCAGTTCAATGGATTCACCGAGTCAGCATTGGGAAATGCGGTACAAGATTCTTCACTCGATCACTTGCTCGCGCACACAACGAAACGAATGCAGAACCCCTTACCTTGAGAATATAGGCATCCGAGCATTACTAATTGGAATAGGAAGAATAAACAGCACGATGTCGTCGCATCTGTTCAAAGTTGAACCAATAAGGGAATGAAGTGGTCACGGGTTGAAGATAGCGAGCTTTTAATTCACATATAATAAACGCGACTCGGGGACCATACGAGAAAAGGTAATGCGGTTCTGCGATAGTGGGAGCTCGTAAGCCTAACTAACCTGAGTCCCCGTCGGTGACGATTTCTGATGTTCGCCCCACTAGGACGCACGGACAAAAAACCGCACAGCACGCTGGGGATGTGAAGATAAACAAGAGCACGGGAAATACAAACCGTCAGCAACACGAACGGAAGAACTGTTAAACATGCAATATTATGGGATTCTGGACAGGAGCCACTCTGGTATTGACGGCACGAACGACTTGATAACTGCATCTGAGTGTCGAAGGACCTACTGGTCGCACAGTCTTCGTGGCAATCCGTGCATGACGTCGTCCAGTCACCTATGGGCACACCGTAACCCATCCTGTGGTCACCTAAGTCGGATGTAATAGATATTACAAAGAGCAGCAGCTGCAAATTCTCTGAAGAGGGACTCCACAAGATGCTACAGCCTAACTTTGTTCCAGATGCCTCCGTAAATCGTGCATAGTAAGGCCTAGAGTTTCAGACGGCTACTCTACTCTCAACGCGTTATTATTTCTAAACCACAGAATGGATTTGCATCGAAGACGTAGGCAGAGAGACGACGAGACCCACGACAGCGAAATGCGCTTATCACTCCTGAGTCAACTCTGCCTGTCCCTCCCTGACTCTAGTAGTGCCTTCTTGCTGACACAGGCAAACGACGGATTTTGTTCTGTCACTTGCACACACGGAATTCGCTGCAATGCTTTCTCGGAGAGCACAGCGAAACTGGTAGCCGTGGGTTGACAGGCTCGGGGAGCGCCAGGGCATGCTTCCGATTTGTGAAATAGGCCTGGTGACTCAGGCGGAGAAACCAATGAATTGAATTGGTTAGCGATACCTCGAACCTGACGACCAGGGGGCTGTTGAGCTGCGCTGGCTGCTTCGGGAGCTACGAGCCATGGAAGCTGACAACGGCAAGGAGGGAAAGAGGTACGGGCGTAGGTGCGGCTGTAGAATCCGTGTAGGGTAGAACCCAACCACTAGCTGTTTTGACTGACTGGGTCCGCCAGTGAGGCGAGTGAGTCTAGTCTTCCTCTAAATTCTACACTAGGGTCGCAGATAAATGTGACGAGTGAATCCAAATACCATATGACTAGAGAACACTGTACCTGAGAATCAAACACGTTTTCTTTTCATATGAAACTTAATACGGTGACAGGTGAAACTGGATGATTTCATTGATCCATCCAAAATGTCAAATACTGTGGTGGCCAAAAAATTGGAATGGTACAACACGCCCTGCTAACAGGACATGCCTTACAGCTTACAACGACAAAACATCCAGCCTGCTTCCTGCACACAGAGACAGGAGAGAATTTTGAGGAGCCCGTATCCACAACATTACAATTTCAACACAACCAATGCAGCATTTTCATCCCCATACCTTAGATCTTGTTGAAGGCCACAATGTCGCAGCTCTGAATGTACTCAGCCGCCTCGCCCTGCTGCAGGTGGTCCTCAATGAGCTCATCCAGCGACACAAGGTCGTCCACGATGGTCATCATGATCGTCATCTTCTTGATGCCGTACCCGACGGGCACCAGCTTGGCTGCGCAGCGTAGCAGGCAAGAAACGGAGCGGACGAATATTGCGAGGGTTAAAGCTCGAAGCAAGTGAACAGCGACCCAGGTCAAAAGCACATGCTGCAGGACCTCAGAAGGCCACACCTTCTGACCAAAACCCAGTACTACCAGGCCTCCCACTTGTCCAGGGCCTTCAAATTCCATGCAGTAGATGAAAAAGAGAGAGTACTCACAGGCACCCCAGAGAAGGCCGTCCATCTGCACCTTGCGCACGGCCGCCTCGAGCTTGGCCATGTCCGTCTCGTCGTCCCACGGCTTCACGTCCAGCAACACCGACGACTTGCCGCCTGCCATACACGCAACACGCACACCACATCAGTTTAGTCTCACGTGGCCGTTCGCACGTTGTGGAAGCCTGAAAGCTACAGCCATAGGCGGAAAACCCCGTAGAGTTCTAAATCAACTGTTCAGGCATAGGGCCGGGTCGGGCGGATACTCACTCTCCTTCTTCTTGCCCGACGCGGCCGCCTTCGCCTCACGCTCGGCCGCGGCGGCCTTCTCCTCCTCCGTGGCCTCGCCGAACAGATCCAGATCGTCGTCGTCCTCCTCGTCCTGCCAACGCACGGCCACCGGCAAGAGCGAGGGAGGGGAAGGGATGTGCGGCAAGGGGAAGGGGAGGGTTTACAGAAGGTAACAACGCCGAACAGATCGAGATTGTCGTCGTCGTCCTCGTCCTAAACCCGCCACACGGCCACACGCATGAGCGAGGAAGTGTTTGCGATGAGGAGAGGGTTCACAGATCAGGTCGCCTCGCGGAATTAGGGTTTCAGAAAGACAGGATGCCGCTTGACGACGGCGGCAACCGCGTGGTGGGACAGGCAGATATGACTTTCGGATACGCACTAGCACGTGTGACGGGGCTTTAAGATTGTCTGGTGTGGACACTGCCAGCTGCAAGCCGGAATTGAGCTTGAAGCGACGGTTGCAGCACGCCAATCGACAGCACACTGCATGATGCATGCGCCATGCTGTCACTCGATCTGCGGTCCCCTTTACAACACATGCACTCAACACTCTCGCGCACGGTCAAGAATAAGGACAGCGTTGATTCATCACGCGTCAGTCACTCAACGGCCTAACCCTAAGATGTATCAGCGTATTAGCCAGATCCGTCAACCAAATCAGCGGGACGTATCAGCCGCGCACCTCAGCTCATCAGCGTACCTCAGCGGGCTTGGCCTCGGCTGCGGGAGGAGTGGCGACAGATGCAGTGGGAGCGGCGGCCGCAGGAGCAGCACCGCCGATCACCACACCCACGCCGGGACCGGAGAAGCTGGGAACGAGAGGATCGAAAGCAAATAGCGGGTGGAGGGGAAGATCAGAAGAACGGCATCCAAAGACGCGACGATACGATAACATCGACAAGGAACCGCGCCAGATATCGTTCGCCTGATATCGTTCGCCAGATATCGTTCGCCTGATATCGTTCGCCAAATATCAAACAGCAACAAAAGACGAACGACAGAAATACAAGAAACGATCCGACATGCCCACAACATACACAATAAAGTAATTAATTAACAGAATAAGCGACAAAGAATGGAGAATGACTCACTTCGAGCCGAGCAGCGCCTTGATGTGCGTGTACCACCGGGCCGCATTGGTGTAGCCCTTGGGGAACGTCTTGATAGCGCTGTAGACCGTAAGGTCATCGCGCGACGCCTGGAAGCTGCGAGGTGAGAAGAGATTGGAAAGGAAATTAAAGAGCACGCATAATCAAAATTGGGGAAGCAGGCAGGGAGAAAAACAAAAAAAAACCGGAACGAGGTGCGGGGTAGGAGGACGAGAGGAAAAGATGCGGATAGTGAAATGGGTTGGGAGACGCGACGAGATCCACGGCCAGAGGGGTATAATGGACGGAAACCCTGAACCCCCTCAAGGATCCATACCCGGAGATGTAGCTGCGGGTGAGGAGGTACTCATCAAGCTGCTTCAGACCATCAGGGGTCGACAAATCACCGAAGGAGACCGCCATTGTGGGTGAGATGTGTGAGAAGGAGGCGGCGAAAGGAGGCGATGAGAGTAGACACAGCTGAGCTGTGACGGGGACTGGGAGACTGAAAAGGAAGAAAAAAAAGGGAACGAAGGGAGTGACACTTTTAAAGTTTTAGGCTTAATATACCTGCACAGCTGCCGCCACCGCCTGGAAGTCCTCTCCGGCCTCTGGCGCCAGCGAGACGGTCGGCTCCACGACGCCCCTTACCGCCAGCAGAGGAGTCGGCGTCCTTCGCCGAGGTCGACGTCGTCGACTGCTTCTCCTTGCGCGGCTTGTTTCCTCCACGACGAGGACGACGACTGCCAGACCTCCCGCGGCCTCCCTTGGCGTCGTCGTCGTCGGAGTCACTGCGGTCGGGGCACTCGAAGGAGAGGCGGTCGGGGTCGCCGCACAGCCAGCACTCCCGACGTCGACTTCCTCCTCCTCGACCGCTGTCCTTGGTTGACTTCTTCTTGTCGATTTCCTTGGTCGACTTCCAGCCACTGCTCCCTCCGCCGCCAGACTGTCCGCGCTGCCCCGGTCGACCTCCTTGCTTTGCCGGAACGACGAAGTTGGCCTGCGCCAAGAGCTCCTGTGACCGCTCTGCCTCCTGCATTGCCTCGTCCTGCAGGATGTACGAGGTCAAGTTGTCCTCGTTGAGCGTCGTCCTCGTGCTCGGCGCCATTGACAGCCGCTTCAGGAGGTCGTAGTTGCTCGTGCATTTTCTTGCGCGGACATGGGGATGTAGTTCAGATGGTGGAGCGCTCGCTTAGCATGCGAGAGGTACGGGGGTCGATACCCCGCATCTCCACTCTTGCACGCATTTGCCGGGCTAGTTGAAGCTTGGTCTAATATAGTTTTTAATTTGACTACAACCACACATTGAAAACCTTCAGGCCAGCCTGCAATAAGCTCATGAGCTTTTATCTGGGTGATCATGAAACTAAGTTCCACAATTGTAAAACCATCACATACATGAACCATGACAGTTTATCAGATCTTTTTATGCTTGCAAAAACATGTGTGGCATGACATGTTACAACACCTAAGGAGAGGCAAAGTGGATGTTCAAGTGATGAAGAACTTCATAGCCAGGTTGATTATATATCATAGTTATGGAAAGAAAACAGTGGCACAAAACTAGTTTGACTATAGTGGATCAAAATGCATCAAACCCATAGTCGAAATGCATGACAAGAATTTTGGAGAGGGGACCAGGAAAAAAATTATGAGCAACATCGTATGAGAACCAATCTAGCACCTCAGATCATAACCTCCAAGAACAACAATCTGCATCAGCATATAGCTGGGAATCTACTAGCGCGAATCAAATCTGTGCTTTGGAGCGTACAGTTCAGGCCTCTCTCAGCCACACATAGTTTATCTAGGGTGTGTGTACTTGCGCTCGAGATGTGCGCGAGTGCTCCGAGCCTGCGCGAGTGCTCCGAGCCTGCGCGAGTCACCCTCCTGTTTCCAGCCACCATAACCGAGGTGCTTCATGAGCCACATATTTGCCCCAAAGCTTCTCGTACCTGAGGCTCGGTACCTGGTTTGTGTCGAGCCAGGCTCCTCCTGCAGCTCACTCCCCAGATCGGATCAGCTTTTGGCCAACTTGGAAAGTGCGCGACGCTTTTCCAATAACCTATGAAAGATCCAACGGCCGTGGTCGCTCCTGTATTTGTGGCTGTGGCTCCTTGGGATTTTATGTGCCTGGCACCGCATGCACCTGTGCTGGTTGGGGAGGACACGCAGCAACAGGACTCGCTTCCACCTGGGCTTCAGCTAGGGGGAGTCATATCATATGCCTGCTGTGCTTCTCTTGTTCAGTGACATGAGCCACAAGAAGAGAACTCACCTCGCCTCACCACCACCAACTGCCGAAGATGTTGATTTTTCGCGGATATTTTGTTCCTTCTTGAAGCTTGCACGCGCGGATGTTAAGAATATCTGCATTTTCACTGGACAGGTGTTTATGGAGTTTTCCCTTACCATAAACTCCAGATGGATTCTTAGCTTCTTGCCGCGTGAGTTGTAACTAGGTGTCATGGATCCTCAGAATCAATCTCTTCCAGGCACAATGGAGCCCAGTCCCGAGGCGCCGTCAACCGTACCGGCGACAGCGGCACAAGCCGTATCCCACTTCAATCCTCGTCCGTTTTCCTTCTTGCTGGTCCTCGTCGGCCCGCCAGGCAGCGGCAAAAGCAGATTTGCTGGACTCTTGATTGCGGATGCTGCTTTACGATATGAGCGCGTTTGCCAGGTCTGCCTCGCTGCGGTTAGATTCGAGAAATCAAAGAACCGTCATTCAGTTGAGACGATTTCGTTGACGCTGTCTGATATGAATATTTTCAAGCACAGCGTTTGACTACTACGGTGAAGGCCATATACAGTTGGACTCTCACGTTTAGTTGACATTCCCTGAGTCATGCCATGTTCGCTTACCAAAGGGTCGGAGATGGACTATCCAGGCATAACGTAATGATATTGTTCTAGGAGTGTTGTAAAGTCTCCGTGAGTTTACAGGCTCATGAGCCTGCACCGGTTACCGTTGCAGTCCATTCTAACCAACCTGTGACGTTCCTTCCTCATACGGTTTCTGATTTCAGGACGTGGCGTCAGCGCGAGGGACTCCTGGCACTCGGAAGCAGTGCTTGGCGCAAGTGAGTGTTAACCGTTCGTTTCCCGAACCCTTCTAACTGTTCGCGTGCTCACTTGGAGTTCACATCTTTGTTGCTTGAGACCCCGTATTCACTGCCATCCGTCATCGTCAGACGATGATTGTCCATAGACCTGATCGGCCATGCGATTCCTCTCTCTCCATCTTACGATTCACACTCTTTCCTTTCACTCTCTCTCCATCGCTCACTCACCCCGCAGATGAGACGGCGCCTGCTGTCAGGGGCGAGCGTGGTGCTGGACCGTTGCAACATGAGCGTGGAGCAGCGCGCCGAGTTCCTCCTTCTCACTCTATTTCTACCTCCCCCCCTTGTATCCCGCTCTTCGTTCTCTCTCTCCCTCCACCTTTCACTCACCTCACAGGTGAGGAGGCACCTCCAATCGGGGGCGAGTGTGGTGCTGGACCGTTGCAACATGAGCGTGGAGCAGCGCGCCGAGTTCCTCGCGCTCGCGCGCAACTGCTACGTGCAGTCGCACGTGCTCGTGTTTGACCTCCCCGTGGCGCTCGTCGTGCAGCGCGCGGTCAACCGAGTCAACCACGAGGGCGGCGTGCAGGTGAGAGGGATTTCTGAGTCGACTCAAACGTGCAGTCGCACGCCATTGGAAGCGAGGGGTTAACCGCGTCAACCACGAGGGCGGAGTGAGTAGGAGTTGACCGAGAGCAGACGTGTGCTTGTAAGGCCTCAACTCGCAACCTTCTCTGCCTCTCACCCCGCAGGGCCCCCGGGCTGCGAGCATCATACGGCACCAGATGAAGATGCGCGAGCCCCCTGCAGCGGTGGAGGGCTTTCAGCGCGTCACTGTGTGCCGCACCGACGCCCACGTCGACCAGGCGCTCTCCTTCTACCGCGCGCTCTGCCCCTCCACTTTCGCTGCTGCCAGTGGTGGTTGTGCTGCTGAGGATCCTGGCGTGGTGGGGCTGCAAGGGGCGGGAGGAGGAAGCCTGGAGGTGCAAAGAATGCAGCAGAGGCACGGGGGAGAGGAGCTAGACGCGCGGGTACGGGAGATGCAGCTGGGGCACTGGAGAGAGGGGGAAGATGCGCAAGCGCAGGGACAGGGATCAGAGGGAGCAGAGGGAGCAGAGGGAGCGAGGCAGGGAGGTCCGGAGGGCCCAGGGCGTGTATGGTGGCAAGGGCGTGCAGAGAGAGAGCGGGTGAGCACAGACACACCCTCCCACAGTGTAGAGTGTAGCCGTGCTGCTACTCCTACTGCTCCTCTCTCTGCTGCTGCTGCTACTGCTCCACTCCGTGCTGCTGTAGGTGCGCCTCGTGTGTTGGGATCTGATCCTCCTTTTTCTGCTGCTGCCACGCCAGGGACCGAGGAGCAGCCAGCCGCGCTGGGAGCGAGGGGGCGAAGGGAGAGGGAGGGGGGGGGGGGGAGGGGGTAAGGAACGTGGCGGAGGGTGGGGGATGGAGAGGAGGGTATGGAAACGGGGAGGGGAGGGATCTAGTGAAGGGATGTGAGAAGAAGTGGGATGGGGAGGGGAAGGGGAGGGTGGGAGAGAGAAAAGGAGAGAGGGAGGGCGATGGTGATAGGGAGAGACGGGCGAGAGGGGGAGCAGGAGGGGAGAGAGAGCATGAAAAGGCACTGGAACAACGAGAAGAAGAGGAGAAGAAGCAAGTGCGAACCCTGTGGTTCAGTCAGAGTCACGGTGTGGCTAGTAGGGTAGACGTAGGCGTGGGAGCAGTAGAGTCACGTGCTGCTGTAGCTGTGGCTGTAGCTGCGCCTGTAGTTGCTGCTGTGCCTGCCGCAGAGGCAGTGAAAAGTAGAGCAATGGAAGATAAGAATGTGGGCACCAGTAGAGTAGGCGATCGTGGCACTTCACAGGCTGGAGTGCATGATGTGAGGCGGTTCTTCCGTGCCAAACCGCCACAGGAAGCTACTAACGGGGATGCTGGGAGGGGTGGCAGTGGAGGGAGGAGGGATGGTGTTAATGGATGGAGATGCGAGAAACATGGGAAAGCGACAACAGCAGCACAGAGCAGTGCGAAGGGGGAGCAGCAGCAGCAGCAGCAGAACGGGGAGGAGAAGCACGAGCAGCTTCGTGTGCCATCATTGAAGTGTGACATGGAGCAACGTTGGAAGAGAAGACGAGTGAACACCGATGGCGAGAGAAGCGCAGGTGGGAGGACATTCCCTTTCCAATGGCCCCCTTCCTCCCACCACCCTTCCATCACTCGCTTTATAACTTCCAACCTCGAGCTCCCATCCTTCTCCCAGTTCTGTTCTCGGAGGTATCTCGACAAAAGCATGCTCCGTTGTCACTAAGGCATGTTCCCTTACCATCAAATGAAGGGCTGAAGGCCTCCTGTGCACGTCTCCCACGAGTCCTTTTTCACTCTCACCCTCGCCCCCACCGTCTCCCACGAGTCCCGTTTTTCACTCTCTCACCCTCGCCCCTCCACCCCACCGTCTCCTTCTCTCACTGCCCCGCGTGCTACCGCTGTTTCTAGGGTGCAGGCCTCGTGGACGGGCGGGGGGAGGGCCTTGTGGATGCGCAGGGGGAAGGGCTCGTCAATGGACGGGAAGAGGGTTGCGCGGATGGGCGGGGAGCAGAGGGGGGTGAATGGCGACATGTGCATGCACATGGGAACCTGGAGGGCTCGTATGGGTTGAGGCAAGACGGATGTGAGCAGGTTGCTCCTGCCGCTAATGAAGGGGCCGAGAAAAACGAGGGTCGGCAAAGAGGAGGGGAGGGGGGAGGCAAGGGCGACGAGCACGATCAGGAGAGGGGGGAGCGCAGAGATCACCAGAAGGTGGATGGAAACAAGGGAGAGGAGCAGGACGATGAGATAGACGAGGAGGAGCAGCAGCCACCGCAGCCACCGCCGCAGCAGCAGCAACAGCAAGCGCAGCAGCGGGAGGCAGCAGGACGGTGGGTGCTGGCGTTTCCGTCCATCTCAACGGCTGACTTCAAGTTTGACAGGGAGAGGGCGGCTGCAGTGGTGCTTGACTGCGTCACTGAGTTCCTCTGGCGCAACGGGGGCAGCAGTCACGGCAGCACCACTGCCAGGAGTGCGGGCGAGGGCAGAGTGGGTGCGGAGGGTCGTGAGGGTGGTGGGGACTGTGAGGGTGGTGTGGGTGGTGTCGAGGAAGGGGAGAGGGAAGGGAGCAGGTTTGAAGGGATGGTTATAAGTGGTACTGGTGCTGCCACTGCTGCTGACGATGGTGGTGGTGGTGCGGTTGCTGGCACTAATGTTGATGCTAGTGCTGCTGCTGCTGCTGTTGCTGCTGCTGCTGCTGCGGTAAGGGATGCACGGAGGCAAGGGGGGAACGGGAATGGGAACGGTGACAGTAACGGGGCCAGTGGAATGGGCAGCTGCAGCGTGAATGGAAACGGAAACGGAGGTGATAATAACGGTGCCAGTACCAGACACGAACAGCCTGCAGCAGCAGCAGCAGCTAAAGAAAGACCCTCAGCACCTGGAGAAACGAGACAAGCATCACCGCCCGGAGCACCCGAGAGCAGACAAAGATCGCCGGCAGGCGGCAACACATCGTCTACAGTGTCTGACTCCCCGCCGAAGCAAGAGACGCTTGAGCGCCGTCCAATCCTGGACGTGGTATTGGTGGATCTCTCGCCCTCCTCTGACATGCTGAGGCGAGTGAAGCGCTTGGCTCGCCAGAGGGGGCTGCCGTTCGTTGAATCTGGACGGCTTAGGCGAGGAGCGGATGGTGGAGAGAAAGACAAGGCGAGACGGTTCATTGAACCTGGGCGGGAGGGAGGAGCCGAAGGTGGGGGGAGGGGTGAGAGGGAGGAAGAGGGGCGAGGGCATGTGGCTAGGGAAGGACCAGGAGAGGGCCGAGCTGGAGGTGCTGCTCCTGCAGCAGCAGCTGTCACTCTTGGTGCTGTCACTGCAGCTGCGGCCGCCACTGCTGCTCCTCCTGTTGCTGCTGCTGCAGGTGGTGGCAGGGGCGCTACTGGTACAGGGGCTGGAGATGTGTGTGATGGCACTGCTGCTGGAGAAGCGGGTAGAGAGGGAAGGAGGGCGGGCAGAGGTGGTGACAAGGACACGTGGGATGACAGCACACGTGGCAGATTCATTCTGCATGCTGGGGATATCACCAAGATGAGGTCGGATGGCGGCATTGAATGCCACGTCATCGCAAACTCGGCCAACTGGTAGGCTGACGTGGCATCGCATGGAATGCTGCTTCCACCATGCATCGGCACGTACAGTAACACGTGGTACTTATTTGGCATGCGTCTCATACCCTGAGACTTCGATTATACACATTATCATAGGCGTCCATTATATGCCCATTGTGCACCGTCCAGTACTCTGTACTGAATGATATACTGTACTGTGCTTCCTCTCTTGGCTGTGCTGTGCTGTGCGTGGGGGTGTGTGTGTGTGTGTGTGTGTGTGTGTGTGTGTGTGTGTGTGTGTGTGTGTGTGTGTGTGTGTGCTGTGCTCTGTGTGTGCGTGCAGCCGTCTGTTACCGGGTGGGGGTGGAGTGAATGCAGCCATCCACAGTGCTGCCGGCCCCAGCCTCATTGAGGCTACACGGCGGAAGTGGCAGCAGCAGCAGCAGCAGCAGCAGAGGCAGCAGAGGCAACAGAATGAGACCCAGCAGCAGCAGCAGAGGCAACAGAATGAGACCCAGCAGCAGCAGCAGGCAGCGACACAGGAGAAGCAGGATCGTGTTGGGCAGCAGCAACAGCAGGAGCAGCAGACGCAGCAGCAGCATGGGGAGCATCAGGGGCATGGGCAATACCTGACTCAGCAGAAACCAAGTGGGGAAACGCACCTCTCCCCTCCTCCCCAGCCCCATCCTCTCCTCCTCTCTCCAGGCTCTGTTCTCTCCGCGCCCCTGCCCCTCTCCTCCCCTCTAAGAGCCCGTGAGGGGGTAAGGCACGTGGTGCACGTGGTGGGACCCAATATGAATCCTCGTCGCCCCAACTGTCTGGATGGTGACTATAACGAGGGCGAGAGGCTGCTCAGGTCCGCGTATGGGGCGCTCTTTAGAGAGTTCCGCCTGCTGGCCAAGGGGGGAGAGGAGGGGCGCGCGGATAGGGCGGATGGAGGGGAGGAGGGAGTGGGGAGAGTGAGGGCGAGGGAGCAGGGTGGAGATGGGGAGAGAGGGATGGAAGGGGGAGTGGAAGGGCGAGGAGGCTGGGGGGTTGTGGGGGAAGGTCGGGTTGGGAAAGAGGGATTGGTTGCAGCTGAGGGTGGGATGAGGGGAGAAGGGAGGAGGTGGGTGGAGGAGGCACGTGATGGGCTTGCAGGGACGAAGGTAAGAGAGTCTGTGGGAGGAGAAGAGAGGGGAAGGGAGGAGAGGGACAATGGTGGGTCGTGGGAGGATGGGGTAGGTGGCGGAGTGGGGATGAGGAGAAGAGATGGAGGTGCTGGGGGTGATTCTGGAAAGGGGAAGAGGAAAGCTCGTGAGGGTGAGAGGGACGAGGTCGACGAGAGGAGAGCAGTGGGAGCGGGGAGTAAGAGGAGAAGGGACGAGGAGGGGGGAGGTGAGAGGGAAGGCGAGGGGATTAGGGAGCTTGAAGGGAAAGAGATGGATGATGAGAAGCGAGGGGAGCAGGGGTTTGGAGGAGAAAGGAGAACGGGAGGACGGGAGAATCTGGGAGGGGAAGCGAGGGAGCAGCAGCGCCAGCAGCAACAGCAGCAGCAAGGCAGGGAGGATTCAGGCGTGGGGAAGGGTGAAGCTGCACGAGATGCATTTGCGGTGCTGATGGGGAGGGGCAGGAAGAGAAGGGCCGATCACCAGGTTAGGGTTGATGCCGAGGCTGCTTCAGACGTCCTCCCCGAAGCTAAGCGGCACGCATGGGATGCGGAAATGACAACTGGAATCGGCACGGTGGCCCCGCTTCCTCCCACTATTGTTCCTGTTGCCACCACCGTCTTATTCACACCTCCAGCAGTAGAGCTTGCAGCTGCGGCATTACCAGCGACAGCAGCACCAGACGCACCAAGGGCAGCAGTAGCAGCCGCAGCTGGAGCAGCAGGCACAGAAGTGCCAGGAGTAGCAGCATCTAGCGCAGCAGCAGTAAATGCAGCAGCGGCAGGCACAGCAGCAGCAGGCACAGCGGCAGCAGGTGCAGCGGCAGCAGGTGCAGCGGCAGTAGGTGCAGCGGCAGTAGGTGCAGCGGCAGTAGGTGCAGCAACTAAGAAGGCAGCATGGGACAGGGGGCACCCCAGGGGGAGAGGCAGAGGCATAGCGTGGATCCACAGTACCAGTAACCCGCCCTGGCCGTGGATGCTGGCTGAGGCCGCTGATCCAACGGCTCAGATGGTGCAAGAGATTCGCATGCCTACAGGGGATGGTGGTGATGGTGGTGGTGGCGGCAGCACAGCTGCTGCTGCCCGTGCAGCTGCAGCTGTGCAGTTGAAAGCAGCGGCCGCAGCAGAGAGAGGGGCAACAGCAGCGGAGGCAAGAGCAGAGTTAGACGCACGAGCAGCAGCGCTAGCACGAGCAGTGGCAGAAGCAGCAGGGAAAGAATCCTTTGACCCTGCAGGCAGGCCAGAAGGCGCCATGGTAGCGCAAGCCCCCTCCCCAACCACCGTTATGTCTTTCACCACCTCTACCACCCCTAGCAGTGACACTGGCACCGCCTCCACCTCAGCTGGGGCTGACTCCACGTCAGCCAGAGCTGATTCCACGTCAGCGGGAGGCGAGAGGGGGTTTTGGTCGCGTGGGGACAGCTCAGCAGCTGCTGCGGCTGCTGCTGTGGCGACAGGTGCTACTAGCGAAGGCTGGGGGGTTGGGGGGTCGTATGGGAGAGGGAGTATGAGGAGGGAAGGGCGTAGTGATCATAGGGAGAGGGAAGTGAGACGAAGGGAAGGTGATGGGAGTGAGTTGGGGGTTCGAATGGGTGCTGAGGAGTTGGCCAGGGTAGGGATGGGGGCGGATGGGGGAGGTGATGCTGCTCGTGCGTATGAGGGAGAGGAGGTAGAGAGGGATGCCCGTGGGCTGAACAGAAGCGGTGCTGATTTCGCTCATGCTCATTCTCATGGTGCCGCCGCCACTGCTGCTAATGCTGCTGCTGTTGGTGGTGCCAGCGGAAATGACGATTTAGCACCACTTGGGGCAGGATCAGCAGCAGCAGAAGAGTTGCCAAGTGCTGCTGATTCCCCACCAGCGGCTCAGGTGCCCTCTGTGGATCTCCAGGTGGTAACAACAGAGCGCCAGGTGCCTCTAGCAGAAGCTCAGGTGCCATTAGCTTCAGCAGGACACTTCACTACACCACCAACACACGCCTCAGGACCAACATCAGTCTCCCTCCAGCCCACTAGAGCCGAGGCTGTGGCGCAGGCTCGGGCCCAGCCAGGGTCCGAGGCTCGGGCCGAAGGTGGAGCTCAGGGTAGGGCCCAGGCTGGGGCGGGCAGGGAGATTGGGGCAGCAGCACACTCACGGCCAATCTCAGCCCCTGCTCCTCCTCCCCGCCCTCCCCTTCCCCGTGCTCCTGGGGAGCTGGACCGGGCAGGAATTGCAGGCAGGCAGGCAGCAGGAGAGGCACGGTTGGGCTCTGTAGCAGGGGGGGCAGGGGAACAGGCCCTTGGCGTGTGGGTGGGCCGGGGGAGGGCAGCATTTCGACCGAATCTTGATAGGGTGGCAGAGGAAGAGGGACGAGACGGGGGGGTGGACAGGGGCGGGAATGGGGGGAATAGCGGATATGGCGGGGGTAGGGGAGAGCTGCTTCCCCAGCGAAGGGGGTTGGAGGAGGGGAGAGGTGAGGGGGAAGATGGGGAGGGTGTTGGGGGGAGGAGAGAGGGCGGCAGTGAGGGGGTGAGAGGAGAGAGGGGCTCTGGAGGTGGTATGCAGTGGTGGAGGAGGAGTGAGGGGAGGGGTGTGAGAGGGGGTGAGACGGGAGGAGAGGAAAGAGGAAATGCCGGTGGTGGAGGAGGGGAAGGAGTGGGAGGGGGAGGGGGAGCAGGAGGGGGTGTTAATTGTGGTGCGGGGGGTGGGGTCGGTGGTAGTGATGGTGGAGGCGGAGGAGTGGGGGCAGGGGGAGGAGGAAGGGCAAGTGACTTGCGAGGAGGAGGAGGGAGCGCAGGTGGAGCAGGGAGCGGAGGGGGAGGAGGAGGCGGGGGAGGGGGAGGCGGCAAGCGAAAGGAGGGGCATGGGGGGGCAGAAGGTTCCTGGAAGCACGCGCTGAGGGACATTGCAATGCGGCCTGAGAGGCACGGCGATGTGGTGCTGTTTGCCGATGCCTCCGTGGTGGTCATCCGCGATAAGTACCCCAAGGTGAGAAGACCTTTGACCTTTGAGTCGACTCAAAAGTCACTTTGTTTGCTGATGCCTCGGTGGTGGTGATTCGCGACAAGTACCCCAAGGTGAGATGGCTCTGGACTTTGAGTCGACTCAAAGTCGCTTTGTTTGCTAATTCCTCTGTGGTAGTCATTTGTGATAAATGGGTTGGTCAGTCCTCTCCGCATCAGCCTCAGCTCAGCCGGCAAGGATGAGAACATCAAGAGCTGAGGCTGATATTCCTACCTTGGATAAGAATCTCATTGCCCTTTGAAACGTTAACTCTGGGGTTTAGGGTTCAGGTTTGAAAGGTCAGGGTGTAGGCTGACAGTTGTCCCTCCATCCTTCCCCGTGTTAACCCTCACTCCACGCCAGGCCCGGCACCATCTGCTGGTGATCGCACGAACGGACGGTGTGGATCGCATCATTGACGCCACAGCGACAGATCTGCCGCTGCTGCGCCACATGCTGACAGTCGGGCAGCTATGGGCGGCACACTCCGTTTCACCCTCCTCCTCCTCCAACCCCACTCTGGGATCCGGCAATTCACCCACCCCCAGTCCTGCCTCTCACGCTGCACCACAACAAGTCAACTTGCCACAGAAACAACCTGAAAAGTCTCCTGATGCTGCGGCTCCAGGAGTGTCAGGTGATCGGCCAGGGGGGGGTCCAGGCAGTGAAGGCGAGCATGCGATGGAGAAGGCTCTGCCTGGGAAAGGAGGGCTGGGTGTGACTATAACGAGGGGCCGGGGACCAGGTGTGACAACAGCAGGGTCATTGCCTCCTCAGCCTCTGCGCTTCCGCTTTGGCTTCCACCAGGTGAACCTGCATGCTCTGTCAACCCACACGAGGCGATCCTGTATGCACAATCAACCCACACCATGTGTCTCAGGTGCCATCCATGCACCAGCTGCACCTGCACGCCATAAGTCAGGACCTCTAATCGTGTGGTGTATCTATTGTTATCATGATGTGTGTGTCTATCCACATGCGTGCCATGTGTCTCAGGTGCCATCCATGCATCAGCTGCATCTGCACGCCATAAGTCAGGACCTGGACTCGCCCCATCTGAAGCACAAGAAGCATTGGAACTCCTTCGCCTCTCCTTTCTTCCGGGATGCACTTCAGGTGAGTTTCCTCTATATGAGACTCACTTGTTGTACAACTTTCAGGTGAAGCTCCACCGAAGTATTGTCCCTTAGGTGAATGACTGCTGTTAGTTGCATAGATGGCGGCTGTTAACTGTTTCTCCTTGTTGTCCCCTGTCATTGTTTCCCCACTTTATGCTAATCATTGTTGCCAAACGTCCTTGCGTTATTCACTGCCCAACATCCATCAGGTGATTTTCCAGATAGAGCAGCACGGCCATGTGCTACCAGCTCTGCCGACCACCCATATCTCCTCCTCTGTAGCCGGCCAGAATCTCTTCCCAGGCTCGGGTGAAACCTCCCCCAGGGCTCCCCCCGTTCCTCCAGAGGCAGGAGCGGGAAAAGGGAGTGGTGCAGCTGCAGCAGAGGGTGCATCTGTAGCAGAGGGTGCAGCCGTAGCAGCAGCAGAGGCATTGGGTGGGCTGGCCATAGCAGGTGATGGAGAGGGTAAGAGTGGAGAGAGGGTGGTGGGTGAGGAATCTCGAACAGCTGTAGCAGGTGGTGCTGTAGCAGGCAGTGATGTTGCAGCACGAACACGGTCAAGATTGGGTGCTTCCGATGAGCTTGTAGGAGCCTTGGAGAAAGAGGCTCGGCATCTGCTTCGGCATGAGCTTCGGTGCCACCGGTGCCGCAGCGTACAGCCGAATCTCCCGAGGCTGAAGACGCACATCCGCACCTGTTCTGCACCCATGCCAGGTTCCCAAGTTGGTCTGGATAGCAGTGGTGGTGATGTGGCTGGTGGTAGCAGTGGAGGTGGAGGGGGGTCAGATACTAGAGACTAGATGCGCAAATTATCAGCAAACACAACAATGGTCGGTATAGAAAAGTATGTAGGACTAGTCATTAGGACATATCTAGAGAATTGCAAGTTAAAATCAGAAGGCCGTTTTTGCTCCTTAACTGGAATGTTTGTATTGAGGTTCGCTGTGCAAGTTCCTTGTAGATTACGGAGAAGGTTTTTCCAATTGTCAGGCCGTCCATCGCAGCCGTAGACCCACTTCGTTATTACAGGTGGCAAGACGATAGCCGTGGATGTACTTTGTGGTTGCAATTCCATCGAGGTTTACTCTAGCAATAGGCTTCAACATGCGACATTGTGTGGCTTGCCTGAAGCAGGAAATCCATTTCACAAGTTGCCTGTCAGAAGAACCTAACAGCATTCCGCGAACTAGCCGTTAGCTGACTACAACACCCTGAAGGTAAGAAGACGCACACGTTTTATTCTCAGGGTTATGTGTGTGTGAATAAGGCTGCTGAGAAGAAAGTATTTTGATGTTTTTCAGGATCAATGCTGAAGGGCGTGGTAAACCGAAGTTATAACACTAGAAGCGCATCGGCTTCGGTAACGCCATTTCTGGATTCTCGATGTCGTGTTGAGATGGATGCGCGAAGTCCAGGCGAAGGGTCAGCCTTTCCCTTACAATCCCTTCCGGACGAGCTCTTGCTGCAATGCCTAGCTCGCGTTTCCTCCGATTCAGACCCAGGATGCCTGCGACTCCGGGGGGTTTGCGGAAAATGGAGGAAGTTGCTGACGTCAGATAGCTTTCTGGATCTCAGACGTCAGGTCGGGAGAGCGACAGAGTGGTTGGTGACTCTGACTTGGCGAATTGAGGGAGGATTGCTCTGCAAGCTGTTCGACTCGCTCACCACCAAGTGCCAGGTTGGTAGTCCGCTCGTTGATTTTTATTATACCCATTTTTTGAAGTATGAGTGCATACACAACCTCGTTGCGAGTGTTATCTTTTCAAGCCGTTCTTGTTTCACCACATTATTAATGTGAAGGTTTTCTTGCCTTTCGTACTGGCCTGTTGTAACTCGTTCTGTGTATGTGGCAGAGACTACCATGTTCATTTAACGGTCTTCCCCCATCCCGCCAATATTTCGGAGTGACTTCAGTCGGTCATACGGTTTACGTTATCGGTGGACAGACCATAGACAACACAGGAATAATGACTGACTTAACCTTCTCTGCTGCAGTTGACTCCTATAACCCACTGACAAACACATCAAGGTCGCTTCCGCCACTCAAAACTCCGCGCAGCAGATTCGCGTGTTGCGCTTCTTCAGACGCGATTTTCGTTATTGGAGGTGTTACCAGCGCGTATGAGGTGCTTTCCTCGATTGAAGTGTTCGATTTGAGGCAAGAGTGCTGGCTAGAAGCATCAAGTCTGCCAGCACCCAGACAAGGAGCTCACGCACAGATCATTGGGAACCGGCTGTACGTTCTTGGGGGTTGTTCATCCCCGTTAGAAGACACAGACCCCAGCTACACCCTTTTCGTATGCGAGCTTCCGATTCTCAGTAGCAGCAGCAACACCACCACCACAATCATACCATCCAGCAGCAGTAGCCGTCAATGCACCAGCATCGCCAATTCCAACCTCAACCCTAGACAGGCTCAACGCAGTATCAACTTGGAGTGGAGGGAAGCTGTTAGTCTACCTGTTCCACGAACTGGTTTCCAGACAGCTGTGCTTCACAACAGGTTATGTGTAATTGGTGGTGCAGCAGCTGAACCTGATGGATGGCAAGCAGCAGAGGGTCAAGTGGGAGAAGGAGGAGGTTGGGAATCAAGAGGGTGGGTGTGCTTCAATTTCCCGCTGGTATATGACCCTGGCACAGATGAGTGGAAGCTATGGAGACAGGGTCACAGCAGCGTTCAGCCACTTTCCTCTCATGACTCGTTCTCCTCCCCATCCAACTTCCTGTTGAACCCACCTTCTTCTCCACCTTCCCTTCGGCCAATCACAGGTGCTGAGCACAGGTTGGCGTGCCAGCACAGAGCATGTAATGGTTACCAGAGCAGGGGTTACGCATGTGTAGCCCTTAATGGGGATCTTTTCCTTGTCAGGAGGTGTGACCAGAGTAGGAACAGCTACTGCAGGCACATCCACAAATTTGACATCTCCTTGGCGAATTCAGGGTATGGAGCGGCGTGGGAGTGTATACAACGAACACGGGCGTACTCTTCTCTGCTTACTGAGGCGGGAGATTGCTGGGAGCATTCCGTTGCCATAGCTATCGTCTGTTGATGAAGTGCTTTATCGATGTTGCTGACTCTTCTTCACTGTTCTCCAAACTTCAGGATGTGCGGATTTTCATGGTTACGGTAGCTGTACTCCGGGAGGTACCATACGCTGTGCTTTTGACAGCTTGCTGCTATGCTTGCTCACACGGTAGTGCTTACCAACATCGCATGAGATGCAGGGAATACCAAGCTCAATGGGCACTTCACAAGCACGATAAGTTGTTGCGCGCGGGCATGCTCTCGGGGCTCCTCCGACTTCTGAGGCAAGAATTGGGTGTTTCTGTCTGCAATTGTTGGTAAAATCAACAGAAACATTAACATGTACCGTATGTAACGGTATGTCAGTCTTTCCCAGTGACTTGCAGAATTCTTAATGCAGGGTGGAGCCCTACTGTGTTGCACCAATCCAGAGTCACTCCTAAAATCCCATCGTCCTGCTTGATGGTGGGGCTGGACTCCCCTGGTGGCAGCACATGAGCCATTGACTGCCTACCTTCTCAAAAACGTTCGTTGCCACCACTCTAAGATGGGAGGGGAAAAACATACGGTACGATACGGGTGGGGGATTATAATCATGCAAGATCCATGCAAGAATCTCGAGGCGACGTACAACATTTGCCCCACATGCCAGAAGAGTAAAACTTGGCTCTCAAGACCCACATGGTGTACCCACCTGCCAGCGGAGCCTGCTGACTTGATAACCTCAACACAGGTCACCACTGCCATGCTGCCGCGCACATGGCACGCCACGTCCTCCAGTGAGATGCTGAGCTGGCGGTTCATCCCATCAAATATAAGCTCCCAGCTGTTGATCACCTGTGGGGGAGGCAGAGGGGTAGTGGAGAGAAGTGGGAGCGGAAAGGGACAACAGGAAAGGTGAAGAGGGAGCAAATGACCATTGGGGCGGCACTGAGAGGCATCAAAGGAGCAGAAAGGAAAGGAGCACCTGCACTGACCAATGACCGTTATACCAATCGCTGTGTGTGTGCATTGCTGCATCAACCCAACACACCAAAATCTCACCATATCGTAACCAGAGATGATGTTTGCTCCAGGGTGAATGCACTGCACATGCTCCCCTCTCGCCCACACGCGGCGCATGAGCCTGAGGTCAGCGGCACCGAAGGCCCGGTAGAAGAGAGCGTTGGCTGCAATCACTGCCGCCTCATCGTCTGACTGAAAGCGCCTGGTGCCCGGAAAACAGGACGGCAAATGCGCAATGGGAGACGGGAGACATGTGAGAATGGGTCATGAGAGGCGTTTCTGGCACTGAACATCTGCGGCCATATTTGCAACTGAGGCTGCACGTTTACCTGATCTGATTAACCTAACAGCAGTACTTCAGTCATCTGCCTGAGAACTGCATCTGCTTCGCCTCAACTATTGTTGCTATCACCTGAACTCAGCTGCATAACAAACCCCTGAACTCTTGCTGTTTTCACCTGAGCCTATCCCTGAGCCCAGCGGCAGCAACATAGTCTTCTGCTTGCACCGCTGCATCGAGCTCTCGCTCCAGCCGACTCATGGTGAGAGCCACGGCCTCGGGCTGGGACACAAGGCGAAACGGAGAAGGAAAATGGGCGGCGAGAGACGCAGGGAGGTGGGTGGAGGGGGTTGTGAAATGGCATGGAGATGGTAAGAGGCAGGGAAAATGCGATACAGCCGATGAAAAATACAAGGAACACGGGGAGGAACGGGGTAGGGGGAGGGGAAGACACAGGGCGGCTGAGAGACCAAAATGGGCACGTCAGGCATCGAAATTCCGTCGTCACGTCAGAACGCGTCACTCACATCCGACTCATCGCTACCGTCAGCGTCATCTCCGCCACCACCGCTGCCACCGCTGCCACCGCTGCCACTGGCGGCTCCCACCCGTCGCCTCCTGCCGACTTCCTCATGTTGACCGCCCCTTGACCTAAAGCGGGGCCCAGGTTCCAGCGCTACGCCATGCCTCACAGGAGATGTGAAGCGGGAGTATGAAATCTCATCTAATCGCTGCCCAATACTCGCGGCTGCGTTACTGGTTGGCGACTCCCGTGGGGTTCGGTGACTCGCCACAAAAAATGTTCCGGCATGGCAATGACGCTGCGAAGTGACAGCGTGAAGGTCGTTTTGGAATGTCACAAGGCCATAGTTTGGACCTCGGGCTTTCCGACGAGGAGGTTCGGCGACAAAAGGCCCAAAGAAGGAACCTGAACAAGCGGTCGCCATGAAAACAAACTGCGGAAGCAGAACGCTGCTTTGCATTAAAACATAAGTAACAAACTTTTTGCTCCTAAAGTTTATTGTGGTCCAATGATCTAGCGGTTATGATGTCAGACTCTGAATCTAAATGCCCGAGTTCAGTTCTCGGTGGGACCTCGTTATTCGCCAGTACTTTTTCCGTTTAGGCTGTGACCCTTGTTCTCATTTACCATTCTCAGCCATAATCTGAATGTTTCTGTACGTGTATACCAGACACAGTTACTAGAATAGCGAGGAACACCCACAGCGAGGTAGAGGAAGTCGAAGCGCTTGCGCATGCCCATGGTCCAAGCGCGCCAACAAGCCAAAAACCAAAGGCAGCCTTGGGTTTGTTCGTGGTTGGGGCTGGGCTGGGCCCACAAGCGCATGCCCATTTCCCATCGGCCATTTTCAGGTGCATGCCACTTAGTCAAGGCGCGCTATTCAGGTGCATGCCAGGTTGCGTACACTATTATCAGGTTAAACAATGTCTCCCGTAACGACAGACACTTTTCAAGATTCCATTCAAAT